TTGTTCTGGTGTAATGATGAAAACAGCAGCGTCACATGACCACTTGCTCTCTGCTCCGCTGAGCTTCGCCGCCTGCAGCCAACCAGGCGCTGCAGCAGGCAGCCGGCGCTTCGGCGTCGGACTCAAGGACGAGTGACATTTGATGGACACGCCGACTGCTGCGAGGTCAAAGCCGTGACCTCTGCTCTGCCCGTCCATCCGTCACAGCAGTAACTCATCGGGGCTGAGCTCGGCTGCTTAAAGCCCCTCGGTGGTTTGGCTGCTGGCGTCAGTGCAGGACGTCAGTGCCGTCCAAAGCGCTGATTAATCGCCGCGGCGGCTAAGCTGTTTACATGTTTCTGTAATAGGACGCTCGCCTGATAATCTAACTGGCTAATGACGTGTCGGCGTTGTGAGCGATCGAAATGATTAAGAGGAAAATTACAGAGCGGCTGCACAGCAAAAGAGCAGAACCAACAGGATCCGGGTGTTTGGGTTTCCTCTGAAGTACTGGAGGTCCATCATGGAGCTCAGCTCACTTGCAGAAAGAACGCTCACCTGTAGTGTCGCTTTAGTCCGACTCATCCAGTAGAAACTAACAGTCTGGCTGCATGTGATTAGCAGCAGAACAAACACCAGGCGTGTTTCTGTGAACCAATCACAGCCGTCTGAGGTGAACCTAAGGATGTGAGTCCAGTGTTCCCTCAAATAGTGACGGTGGAGTTATTCTGGTAGAACATTTGTATGCAGGAGACCAGCCTTATGACCTCAATCCTGCTTTTCATGCTTACCTGCATCGTACGTTCTGTGAGTCACATTAGTGTCACAAAACCAAAGTATCACTTTGTTATGATACCGGCCTAATCCCAGTCATTTCATATGTAGTCTCTGCTGATACAGAGTCCCAGTCTGACACCAGTAGCCTCCCAACACACATTTTACGTGTCGTAGATCGGGTGCAGTACCTGGTTGTTCCACCAGGTGGAGTCTCTCACTATTTAATCCTATGGAGACCAGAGGAGGCGTCACTCAGACTACAGCTCATGGTGGCAGCAGAGAGCATTGTGGGAGTTTAGCAGCAACGGGACCATGACAGAGACTCTGTGGAGGTTGATGACCTCTGACTAGTCAGTAGCTGATCAGTAATGCTCCAGATTACAAAGAAAACTATTCGAAATTAGCATCTCTAGCATCCTATCATTTAAAATTGTGTTTTCCCTGTGTGGTCGCAAACATAAAGGAATGTCTGTGGACTCACCCTGACTACATACAACCCGCCGTCGTCGTCGAACCGGGAGGGTCTTAGCGAATGCTGCTAACGGTTAGCGGCAATTATGGTAGCGAATAGCAACATTAGCAGTGAAGTTGACGGTAGTGAAACTCCGTCAGCGCTTGTTGTTAAATATTTTACGTACCTTCGAAAACAACGTATCGGCCCAATTTGCAGCGTAATTTTTTCAGGCAGCAGCGGGACGCCGGAGAGAACCCTGTATGCAATTATTATTATTATGATTATTATGATTATTATTATTATTATTATTGTTGTTGTTGTTGTTGTTGTTGTTGTTGTTGTTGGCTAAAACAACAACGTCAGAAAACGTCCACT